CTTTGTGTCCATCCTTACGTCGACAACAGTCAGTAAGTGTTTGATCATAAGGTCATAGGCTTAGTCAGCACTCTGCGTCCTAAGTTTGTGATAGAAGAATAAGTCTGCTTATCTTACCTGCCTCGAGTGCCTGCCCAGCGTACTCACCGCAGTGTTGCATCTTCGCACGTCCACCCGCACGTTAGCGGTGTCATATCTTCATCTGATGCTCCATCAGTCGCCGACTCTACCAGCGTAAGCCGCACCAAGGCATTGCGCAGCAACGATGGTGTCATCCGTCGTCCTCGAGCAAGAACTCCAATTGAGTTCTACGAGCAGCAGCCCATAAGATCCCTGCCAAGGCCAGGACACATTTCTATGGGAGGTCGGCCCCCTCGGGCACAAGTTCAGCTTCTATTATCCAGACTCCCTCAGTCAGGTGACCGAGTCTACCTGCAGGACCATCTGGTCCAGATCTCAATCAAGGGACATACGTCGAGACCACTACTGGGTCTCATTTCATCTATCCTCTCGCTGTCTCCATTATCTCAACTCAGCGCGTCGAAGGCACCCTTCGACAAATTCGTATCCTACTCACCAAACGATACCGTCGTCAACTTGATGACCACGACATCTCATACTCAAGCTCGAATCCCTCCGCACTGACATCGCGGAATTCAAGCTTTCCTTCATTCACCAACACGTGGTTCGCGACTTCTGCAACTACGTCCAAGAGAGGAAGCATCAGGGCGGAGAAGCTTGCTGGATAATCAGAGATATTATCCAGAAATATCGTCTAGGAATACAGGTCACAGGGCGACCTTTGCTGTAGATACGAATATTCATTTTGTATATGTCTTCATCTGGCGATTCGAACAATCTCGAGAATTTTACACCACTCAATCCAGTCGGACACACGTTCGATTATCTTTGGGATTCAGTACCTCGAGCTCTTCAAGAGCGAGCAGGAGAAGCGTTTGCCACATACGAGGATACGTTTCACATCGACTACCATGACATATATCATATATACGCCCTTTAAATCTATTCAGAATTTGATTAGAGGAACGTCGCGATTCATATCTGCTATATCCCAATAGGCACAGAACAACCCGAAGATCATCTCACCGAAGCATACAATAGTTTTGTCGATTGGCTCGAGGAAGTCGAACGTCTTTGCGAAATACATCATAATCATCAGTGGCCCGCAGTAAGGGACAAGACCAGGTTCTTGTGGTAACCCTTCGTCAAGGTTATATTCCACGACCTTTACCTGCTAAACCGCATTCGTGCAGGTCGAGCAATTGTCCGAGTGGCCACAATCACAAATAGGCATATTGTCAAGTTCGAGGAACATCTTCGCGAAATAGAGGAGGAATTGTAATATGGCGACCCCCACCCCAAATGATCCAAGCTTCTCTCGTGCTCCATCTCCGGAGCTTCCCGCATGACTCAATATTGTTTTACAACCACCTAATCCTATTGTTCGGCAAGCTCTCACTGACACCACACCCCCCACTGCCCAAATACCCAATGATGTCAAAAATTGGGTAGTCGATCTCGTCACCAATGTGGTGGAGCAAATGCGACAACAAACTGTTGTGCATTATGAACTGCTAATTAATCAACAAGCAGAACACGCTCAACAAAGCACCACAGAATTCCACAATCGTACGGTCTTCTTAGACCAACATCGCCAACAATCCGAGTCTCGAATCGCAGACTTGGAGAAAACCTCATCAGCTTTAACTGAGGATAACAAGGCCATTAACGAATCATTGGTGGCATTTGATGATGAGGTCAAGGATCTCCAAACAAGGACAGAGGACCTAAAGAAATCACATGATCGACTTCGTGCATGGGCATCTACGCAGGGAAGGAAGGCAGGACAAGGCGGTAACAATGTCGACGACACGGACGATACGATGAGCTGTCGTTTGGTCGCAAGGGTAAAGGCGTAAAAATTGACCAACCAGAGAAATATGGTGGCAATAAGGACGGAGTCAATCTCGATGATTGGCTCGAACAAGTAATGCTCTGGTTGAAATATACTGGACATACCAAAGATGAGTCCAAAATTATGTCTACCCTCTTGCTCCTGAAAGGAGGAGCCCGCGAATATATGCGACATTGGATTACCGATATAAATGAATACAATAAGGCACCAGGAACTTGGGCGGAGTTCGTCGCTAAACTTCGCACGGCATATGAATCATTGGACAAGGATGACAAGAAGCGAACGGAGTTAGAAGCCTTCGTCAAGAAGGATCATCGAGACTTCCGAAAGTTCGCAGAGGACTTCCATCCAAAGGCAACCGGTACAGGCTTCTCGGATCAGGACTTGATCGAAAAGATCAAGAAACATATTCCGGAGAAGACGTGGCTGCTCATGCTGGCAGACACGACTAAGGACAACTGGCCCAAAAAGTGGACCGAATTCCTTACGTTCGCACTCCGAATATTTACGTCACTACAACGAGAAGGCCACCATGCCAAGGCTGAAACCAAGGACCTGAATGCTATGGAGGTTGATGCAGTCAGGAAGAAGGGGAAGAGTAAATTGGGCAAAGCGTGAAGCATGCAAGACGACAAGTTGGTCTGCGCCAACTGCAAGAAGAACAAGCCAACATTCTTCAAATCGTCGAAACACTTCAGCAAGTATTGCACTGATTGTTTCAAATTGGACCATGTCAAGAGGCAGATTGAGAAGGAGAAAGAGACAGCTGCGAAGAAGAAGGACGGGAAGAAAAAGGACGACGACAAGAAGAAGTCAAAGTCGTCCAAGACGTGACAGGTGGTATCTGATTCCGCTTCATCAGATGCAGAGAGCGAAAGCTCTGACACCGAAGAAGAGAAGAAGCCAAAAAAGAAAAGCTCTTCCTCTAAGACTAAGGGGAAGGGTAAGGAGACAGCTGCGCATATCAGCGACCGCAGCATCCACTCGAAAAGCGAGCCTGATGCATCCGAGTCGGACGAAGATTTTGCTGCGATCCTCTCAAGGCTCAGGTGCCTGAGGGCAAACAGATCCAGTTCATCAAGGAAGGTGGGAGAGGGCTCTTCAAGAAGGGATCAGAAGGGTTTTCTCA